ATTAGAAGAGGGTTTTGGGGCCCATCATACTATAGTCTATAGTCATAAGAAGGAAGAAGGAACCCCCCAAAATAGTTTTGATAATCATTTAGGCCCCTACCTGGTGCACCGTCATTGGCGTCATTTGAGAAACTGGAAATCCGCAGCTGCCCATCCGAAACGGGGGTTGCAGATGGTGTCAATGCCCTAAACCCCTAAGCCCTAAACAGTTTGCTGCAAAGCTGTGAGCAGCAGGAGAGTGTGTTAGTTATGGTTATCTGTTATCGATTATCGGTTCTGGTTGACTGGCCGGAAATCATGACACCTGCGATTTGGGGACAGGCGGCATATTGTTACTTGTTTGGACGCGACGCAATCGGCATCAATCGACGCGAGTGTGTGGAATGGGCGTCCGGCGCTATTGCTACAGGCGATGCCAGGGCCACCGTCGTCATGTCAATTCCTCAATGGTCCTGCCCAGCACACCGGTACCTGTGCCTGGTTTCGAGCACTGCTTGCTTCAACACTCAATAAATGATGTGTATAAGTCGTATAGGAGATAGAAACAGTTTAGCATCGGCGACCCATGAGACAATCCATCCAATTATACATATACCCAAAGATGCTTCGGGTCTTTGTACCGAGTTGTTAAGAAGTGCAGTGCTGGCACGAGGCTAGTATAGCACTGTCCTGCAACGATACATGTATGCAGCCTTCATCTATACGGGAACCTCTGTTGAACGCTCCACGTCGGGACTCGCAGACACACTTTCTCAGATGTTTGCACATCTCCCGACATAGTCTCTCTGCGCATTTCGTCTTTCAGTCGCTGAAGTACGTCATCTTGATTTTGTCGAAATCAAGGACCTCTTCACCACCCCAGCGCTTAAGCTCCCATGTTTCCACACCTACACCCTTGATGACGAAGACTTGATGTTCTCAATCGGATTCGGTGTCCCATTACGGAGCCGGTACCTGTGTTCGTGCGCTGTAAGCCTCCACCCGGAAGCTAAACATGCCCTTGTTGCGCGATTTTTGGGCAGCATGCCGCTAGCTTGCAAGAGTGCGCCCAGCTCACTGGCTGACTGGTCATCCAAGTACTGCCCGGCGAGCCGTCTCCTCGGCCCACAGGATTCTTTGAGGCGCTGTATAGTGGTGTAATTATCGCAAAAAGGACTGTTGTTGGAGGCTTTGCTTGATGATTGCAGGGCTTCTATAAGGGGCTCCATAAAGCCAAATCGCATTTGGGGGTGGTAGAGTTCGATGCAGGAATTGTAGATCGACTTTCAAACCCATTTGTGCTCATGTCAAGTGACTCAAGTTCTTGAAGCGTCCTATGGTGACGTCTGCCGGGCGGTAGGAGTTAGATCTGCTCATGCTTGTGAAGCTGGCATCGTCTTATTGTGATCCGAGTTCCGGCGGTAGCTGACACTTTGCACCGCGGAATCAAACCGCAGCAGCAGCAGCAGCAACAACAAGACCAAGACCAAGACCAAGAAGAAGAAGAAGAAGAAGAACCACAACAACGACAACGGAAGCAACCGCAACCACAACCACAACCACAACACAACCAAATCGACAACAACAACAACAACATCATTTACAACGGCAAAAGCAAGAGCAAGAGCAACAACAAATACAGCAACAGCAGCAGCAGCGGCAGCGGCAGCGGCAGCGGCAACGGCAGCGGCAACGGCAACAGCAACAGCAACACCTCCACCGTCACCGTCACCGTCACCGTCACCGCCACCACCACTGCCGCCAACAACAACGACAACCACAACGACAGCGACAGCGACGACCACAACGACCACGACAACGACAACGACAACAACAACCACACCAACACCAACACCAACACCAACACCAACACCAACACCAACAACAGCAACAGAAGACCAAGCAGCAATGTACCTTAGTCAGGGCGCAGGAAGAAACAAGAAGAACAACAACAACACCGAAAACTACCA